TTGTTTTAGAGAAAAGCGAAATGTGCACTTTTATTCAGGTGTATGTACACCTGCACGAAAGGACCAAGAAGGCGCTTTTCTTCCGGTTTTGAAATAAAAATAAAATAAAAGTAAAATTAAATGCAATTTAGTTTCTAAAAAGCAAAAAAGAATTGGCAAATGGGATAAAATTTAAGGCAATTTGCCAGTTTTTCGCGCTTGTGTGTCAGCATAAACCCCTCCAGTTCACAAACATATTTATGCAGTTGCACGTGTACAAATATATTTAAACAAAGACATAAACAAATACCTTTTTGCATTTTTATTGTCAACAATGGCACATTAGATATAAACCCGCTTATGAATAAAACAACCCAAACGCCTACAGGCCTAGGGACCCCTCGGGGCCCCCAAACCCTAGCTACTTAAGGGGGCCCCCAAACCCTAGCCTTTTGGTTAACCCCCAAACCCTAGCTAGTAAGAGAGGCCCGTAAACCCTAGCTGCCTCAGGGGGCCCCCCAAGGCCCCATTAGGGGCCCTCAGCCCCTGGCTACCTATAGGGGCCCCCAAGTCGTCTTTGGGGGCCCCCCAGCACTCTTTAGGGGCCCCCAAGTAGTCTTTGAGGACACTTCAGAAATATGCAGGGGCCCCCCAGCACTCTCCAGAGGCCCCTCAGCAGTCTCTAAGGGCCCCCAAGTAGTCTCTTGGGGGCCCCCAGCTTTCTTTGGGGGCCCCCCAGCGATCTCTGGGGGCCTCCCAGCACTCTTTGGGGGCCCCCCAACGTTCTTTAAAAGCCTCAAACGGTGGCCCTCTAATAATCTGTGGGGCCCCCTCTGACTATATTCCCCTTCAAGGTATTTAGGGCATTTTGGGGTCCTCAGTTGCCTTAAACTGCCCTTGGGGGCCCCCCAAAAGTCTTTGGGGGCCCCCTAAGTGTCTATGACGGTATGAACGCCCCCATAGAGCTCCCTAGGGGGCCCCCAGTGGTTTATCGGGGCCCCCAGTTCTCTATAGGGGCCCCTAGACCCTCCTTAGGGGCCTCCTGTACCCTATTGGGGCACGGAGGCCCCCATAGGGCCCCCTCTGGGGGCCCCCCAGTGCTCTATTGAGTTTTGGGGGCCCCCATGGAGTCTACTCTGGGGGCCTCCTAGTACCCTGTGGGGATTCGCGGCGCCCCAGTACCGTATAGGGGCCCCCTTGCGGGGGGCCCCCCTCTCTCTCGGGGGGCCCCCAGCAGTCCATGGGGGCCCCTGAGTTTATTAATTTTGTTAAGAGTGGGTTGGGAGGTCCGGGTGGTCAAGGAAGTTCTCATCTGCTGCTGCGTCATCCCGCTGCTGCTGCTGCTGCTGCTGCTGCTGCTGCTGCTGCTGTTGCTGCTTGTACGGGGCGACTTCTGTGCCGCTGCAGCAGGCAAGAGACACAGGAGGGTTTGGTTGCCTTGAGTCTATTATTGGAGAATTGAATAAAAGAAATAAATAAAAAAATAGTAATAAATAAATAAATAAATAAATAAATAATAAATTAATAAAGTAAAAGAATTAAAACTCCACTTCGGGTGTATGTACTCCAAAGACAACTTCTCCTGCTCCAGCAGCCGCTCCGCCTTTGGGGTGTATAGGGAGATCACGCGAAAGTTTATATCTTTTGAGGCGCAGCGGCACCTGCACAAACCCGCAGGGTTTAGGGTTTAGGGTTTGGGGTTTAGGGTTTGGGGCTGGGAAGCAGAACGCGCGCTCCCGCGCGCGTCACAGGGTCTAGGGTTTAGGGTTTAGGGTTTGCGAGGTGGCGCGTCCATTGACAGCTGGCTAATGAGGGTTTGAATGGGTTTAAAGCCGCAGCCGCAGATACTAGGGTTTGGGGTTTAGGGTTTAGGGTTTAGTGCCTGGGACATCCATCGGGGAGTTGGTTGTTGAGGGTTTGAATGGGTTTGAAGCCGCAGTTGCAGCACCTAGCGCCTAGCGCCTGGGGTCAGGGTTTAGGGTTTAGCGTTTAGGGTTTAGGGTTTAGTGCCTGGGACATCCATCGGGGAGTTGGTTGTTGAGGGTTTGAATGGGTTTGAAGCCGCAGTTGCAGCACTGCAGCAGCCGCTTTGTTGCTTTTCTGAGGGTTTGGTGGTGCTGCTGCTGCTGGCAAACAGGGTTTAGCCGGTCCGAGTATTTCTCGCACTGCAGCGCAAACCCTAAACCCTAAACCCTATACCCTAAACCCTAAAGCCTAGTCCTTCGACCCCGGACGCGGAAAGCACGCGGATTCACACACAACCAAGAGACACCCACACAAACCCAAAACCCTAAACCCTAAACCCTAGACCCTGAACCCCAAACCCCACACCCTAAACTCTAAACCCTAAACCCTAAACCCTAAACCGTCCGTCCTCCATGCTGCACAGGGGTTTCCTGGTCGCTGCTGAGCCAACCTTGAAAGCGGACGGAACCCCGAACTCCAAACCCTAAAATCTAAACTGTAAACCCTAAACCGTAAACCCTAAACCCTAGGTGGGAACCTGGAGACAGAAGAAGGCGGAGACAGTTGTCTCTTTAATTGTTTGTTTAAATTCATGTTTTATGTCTGAGGCCTCCAGCAGCCGCAGCCGCTCCAGCTGCTGCTGCCAGTCTTCCTGCGCATAAGCAGCGCAGCAGCAGCAGCAGCAGCAATAAGTGACGCAGCAGTAGCAGCGGCAACGCAGCAGCAGCAGCAGTAACGGCGGCAGCAGCAGCAACGGCGAGAGCAGCACACGCAGCAAAGAGAGCTGCAGCTGCTGCAGTGCAGCGGCCGCAATGGGTAACAGGGGCAGCAACAGCAACAAAACAGCAGCAGCAGCAGCAAAAAAGCAGCAGCAGCAGCAGCTACTTGGTCGACAATATCCGCTACTGAGGATTTAAGTTGCAGCATTTTCTCAAGAATGTCTTTTTGCTGCTGTGCTGCAGCAGCAGCAGCTGCTGCTGCTGCTGCTGGGCTGGTTGGCGCCGTACGCTGCAGCTTCTTGGCTGCATGCTGCTGCTGCTGCTGCTGCTGCTGCTGCTCCCTCAGGGCCCGCTTCTGCTGCTTTGCTGCAGCAACATCCAAAGCCTCCCCAGCCCGCTGCGTCTGCTTCATTGCTGCTGCTGCTGCTGCTACCAAATTCCCTTTTGTGAGGGCCTTAAGGGCTTTTCGGGTGTCTGCTGCTGTCTCTAGCGGCGGCAGCAGCGGACGGGGTCCACCTGCTGCTGTTGCTGCTGCTGCTGCGGGTGCTGCTGCTGCTGCTGCTGCTGCCTGGGGCTGTGCAGCGCAGCTGCCTGGCGACTTCGCTGGAGCAGCAGCAGAAGCAGACGCCGCTGCTCTTGCTGCGGCAACCCTTCCCGGCTGCTGCTGCTGCTGCTGCTGCTGCTGCTGCCGTTCCTGCTGCTGTTGCTTTTGCTTCTGGCTTCTCTGTGGCATAACTGTAGCAATTTGGTGCAGATAGCGATAGTTTTTGAAGGCCAGCAGGGCTATTTCCTGCAGCAGCAGCAGCAGCAGGAACAGCATAAGCAGCAGTAGCAAACGGGATTTAAGTTCTCTTTAAAGCTGCTGCTGCAGTTATGGGCCAGCAGCCAGTGCCTGCACCAAAGCGAGTAGCTGTGGCGGCAGCAGCAGCAGCACAGTTCCAACAGCAGCAGCAACAGAACACCAGCAGCAGCAAGAGACAGGGGCGGCAGCAACTCAGCAGGACCGCAGCAGCAGGCACTGAGCAGCAGCAGCAGCAGCAGCAGCAGCAGACGTTACTTAGCAGTTGCGGGAGCAGCAACAGCAGCAGCAATCCCGAACCAGCACCAGCAGCAACGGCAGCAGCAGCAGGCCCTGATTAGCTGCAGCGACCGCAGCAAAAGCAGCAGCAGCAGCAGCCACGCATCAGCAGCAGCCAAGGCCCAGTAGCAGCAGCAGCAGCAGGGCTTACGGCGTTGGGGTGCAGCAGCAGCAGCAAATGAAGACTTTTTGCTTCTGCTGCTAAGTGTGGGGCCCCGTCAAAACGCATGCGGCGGACTAGAGACAGCTGAATGGCGAGGGCCATGTCGCGGCTGCTGCTCTGCAAGCAGCAGAAAACCAGAAGCACAGAAACCCTAGCAGCAGCAACAGCAGCAGCAGCAGCAATAGCTGCAGCAGCAGCAGCAGAAACAGCTGCGATGCCAGCAGCGGAAACAGCAACGGGAATAGCTCTGATGACAGCAGCAGCAGCTGCTGTTGCTGCCGTTTAGACATGACGCACGTCTAAGTGTTGTGAAACAGCAGCAGCAGCACCAGCAACAGCAGCAGCAGCAACAGCAGCAGCAGCGGCGGCAGCAGCAGTGCTGCAGTGTACGTACAGCTGGGAGCTCTACAATCTCCTTGAGCTTTTTGACAAATGCCTGAGCTGCCTGCTGGTCCCTCTCTGCTATGTTGCTGCTGCTGCTGCTGCTGCCGTTGCTGGTGCTGCTGTTGCCGGGGATGATGTTGCTGCTACTGCTGCTGCTGCCGCTGTTGCTGCTGCCGGTGCTGCTATTGCTGCTGCTGCTGCTGCTGGTGGCAGGGGAACGGCTGCTGCTGGCTGGATGGCTGTTGCTTCTGTTGCTGCTGCTGCTGCTTCTGCCTTGGCTGCTGCTGCTGCTGCCTTGGCTGCTGCTGCTGCTGCCTTGGCTGCTGCTGCTGCTGCCTTGGCTGCTGCTGCTGGCAGATTTGGTGCTGCTGCTACTGCTGCTAATGGCAGACTTGGTGCTGCTGCTACTGCTGCCGCTTCTTAGATTGCTGCTGTTTAGATTGCTGCTGCTGTCTGTAGACGGGGGCGATCTGCTGCAGGACTGCTGCAGCATCAAGTTGCGCTGCAGGAGCTCTGCAGCAGAAGCAAGGGCAGCAACAAGAGCAGCCGAAGCACATACAACGGCGGCAGTAGCAGAACGAGTGATAAGAGCAGCAGCAGCAGCAGAACCGCCAGTAGCAGCAGCACCAAACTTGTTGCTTGCAGCAGTACAGCAGCAGCAGGAGCTGCTACATCTGGCAACGAGGCAGCAGCCGCATCTCCATCAGTGTGGGGCGCAGCAGCAGAAGCGGCAGCAAGGGGCAGCAACAGCAGCAACAGCAGCAGCTTCCCTCACTGCTCATTGCTTGCTGCTTCGCATGCTTCTGCTGCAGCGAGAGGTTTTCCTTTTGCTGCAGCAGCTGATTCTGACTTGGCTTTGCCTTAAGTGCGTCAACTTCAGCAGCAGCAGCAGCAGCAGCTGCTGCTGCTGCTTCTGCTGCAGCAGCAGAAGGAACAAGCTTGTGGAGAATGGCCTTCCGCCTTTCTTGGTCCGCGCCGCACAGCAGCTCACCAATAGAAGCAGCAGCATCAGCAGCAGCAGCAGCAGCAGCAGCAGGACCCTTGTGCTGCCTGTCTTTGCAGTTCACGTGGAAACGGCAGTACTCCCCCATGCTAGGCCTGCAGCAGCAGCAGAAGCAGCAGCAGCAGCAGCAGCAGCAAGTTTCCAGCAGCAGCAATAGCAGCAACAGCAGCAACGGCAAAATAGGGGCAAATTTCTTTAGCTATGACCTTTTCTAGAGGCCCCTAGTATGGCCCTAGGGGCCCCTCAAGGGGCCCCTTGGGGGGCCCCCCAGTGGCCCCTTGGAGGCCCCCTTGAAGGACTCTATCGGGTGCCCTCGAACAAGCCTAAGGGGCCCCTTGGGGGCCCCTGAGTTTAGGGTTTTGATGACTTACAGATGGACCATTTGTCTGCACTGAAGTTGGCGGCGAGTCATAGCGCTGCAGCGAACTATTCCTTTGACGGCGCCCAGCTGCACACAAACCCTAAACCCTAAACCCTAAACCATAAACCCTAAACCCTGGGCCTGAGGTTTCCGAAAGCAAGTGGAGAGAGCGTGAGCTGGACTTATCTGGACTCTGGCCGACGCAGCTGCCGCAGATCCTGGATGCGCCCTACTGCCTAGGGTTTAGGGCTTAGGGTTTAGGGTTTAGGGTTCAGGGTTTGGAGCTGCACTTTGAGAATTTGGTCATCATCTTCGACTGCTGCTGCTCGCGAATCGGAGCCTTCGGCCTTTGGAAGCAAAGAAGGGTTTAGCACTGCAACCAAGTCCCCCGGCTGAATGCCCTTCTTCCTGCGCAAACCCTAAACCCTAAACCCTAAACCCTAAACCCTAAACCATAAAGCCTAGGCCCTAGCTGTTCAGAGCTGAAGACAAGGGCAGAATAGAAGGAGCGGATGCGACATGGAGGTCTCCTACTATCTTTGCAGGCTCGAAGCTGCCCATAGCCCAAACCCCAAACCCTAAATCCTAAACCCTAGACCCTAAACCCTAAACCCTAAACCCTAAGACTAGGGGGGCTTGCCTAAGGCAGCTCCAAAGCTCCTCCCCACGAAAAGAAAGCAGCAAATTTGTCTCCCTGAAATATAATAGCCAAACCCATTTAAAGTTCTCAGCAGCAGCAGCAGCAGCAGTGTCAGCAGCAGCAGCAGCAGTATCAACAGCAGCATCAGCAGCAGCAGCAGCAGGACCAACAGCGACAGCAGCAGGACCATAAAAAGCAGCAACGGCGGCAGCAACAGCAGCAACAGTAGCAGCAGCAGCAACAGCAGCAGCAACAGCCGGAATAGCCACAAGGGGAGCAGCAGCAGCAACAGCAGCAGTAGTAGCCGCAACATTAGCAGCAGCAACAACAATAGCAGCAGCAGCAGCAGCAGCAACGGAGGCTGACTTTGTGTCCCACAAGATCCAGCACCATTTCATTTCATCTGCAGCAACCCCAGCAGGCCCACAGAATGACTCCAAACCCTAAACCCTAAACCCTACACCCTAAACCCTAGACCCTGGTGTATGCTGCTGAGGGTTTACTGGCGACTCCGCGAGGGTCTGAGACAGAAGTCACAACGCCAACAACAGCAGCATGAGCTGCTGCTCCCTTAGCAGCAGCAAATGTTGCTGCAGTCATCTGGGGCACACACACGGCGCAACAGCAGCACAAACCCTAAACCCTAAACCCTAAACTCTAAACCCTAAACCCTCCAAGTCTAAGCCCGAAACCCCCTGCCTCGAGGTTCAGCGACCGGCTCTTTCTGCTGCTTCTACCTGGCGATCTAGAGCTCACAGTTTAAGTTTAAAGACCTAGGGTTTAGGGTTTAGGGTTAGGGTTTAG